CTCTGGCACAGTTGTCCTTGAAAAAGAGCAGTTTGTGTCAGAGTTCTCTCAGCCCCACCCACCTCACAGGGTGTCTGTTGTGGGGAGGGGAAGGGAAAGGAGTTTGTAAGCCGCTCTGAGACTCCAAGTGAAGGGTGGGGTATAAATCCAATCTCTTCTTCTTCTTAATTTTAAATGCTTCCGCCCTGCTTCTAACTGCATTTGAAGCCACTTTCAACACTACACTGAAGTACCAATGAAACCAGTTTTGGCAGAACTTCCACCCAACCAAGAATTGCTCAGATTTGGTCCAGCAAAGCCCAGACAACCAGACTGAGCAAAACACCTGGGGTGCCCACTAGATATTGTCCATCAAGATCAGCCACCCAATGCCAGACAAAACAAGATCATTTCAGACAATCTGTAGCATCTAATCAGCGAAGGCAGGGATGGATCTGCGGGTTCAGACTGCCAATCCATTCTGTGCACGCTCCCCCGTGTTCAGACTTCTGGCCATGCGCAATGAACGCGCGAAGAACTGAAAACGCCACTTGTGATGTGGTGCCTTTTTAACCCAGCTCCAAGTCGTCCTACGATGGGATGAGTATATACCTGGGGAATGCCTGACAGATGTGGCTGTATGACTGTGCCCATCTGAACTGGAAGCGAGGGGTGGCTATGTCAGGCCAAACTGCTCCTGTGATCACACCCTGAGACTAACCTACATCAAAGGGTAGTTGTGAAGATAAAATGGAGGAGAGGAGAATGATGTAAGCTGCTTTGGAGTCCCTGTTGAGGACAAAGGCAGGGAATAAATGAAGTCTATTTATTATTATTGTTTCGACTTACTATACCGTCCTAACCCCGAAGGGTCTCTGGGCGGTTTACAGGGTATGTTCTAAGAACTATTCAATCCCTAACTAAGGCCACATGATATAGGGGTGGGGATTTCCTACCTGCACCCTAGTGGTGGGCCTGTTGTAGCTTTCTGGCTTGGCTTTTCCCTCCCTTTTTTTTCTTCTCCCGGCGATCTCTGGCCTCTCCCTGGGCCGACTGCTTCGTTGGTGGGACCATTTCTGGCGCACGGCCCATGCTTGCTTCCGGCCTCGGCTCAGTCCTATTCAGCTCCGCCGCGCCTACAATGCACGTCATCGTGCGTCTTCTTGGTCTCCGCCGCAGTCGTCTGCCGCTTGATGTTGCAACAGCCGCCAGGGATCGCTCTGCCAGTTCTCGCCTCCTCCGCGCCTCGCCATCCAGGCTCCGCCGCCGCCGATGTTCTCGCCGATGTTGCCGCCGCTGGCGCCACCACCACGCACCTCACTGGAGGAGGAGGGTGCCCCCCACCCATCTAAGGGTGGGTACCGATTTGCCTACTCGCTTGATTTTAATTGCTTTCGGGCCACTGGGTGGGCGGGAGCTGGGACTCGGGCCAGGAGCTCACCCCGGCTGTGGTGGATTCTCGAACAGCCATAGTGGCTGTTCCTAGTTGTTACCGGCAGGCGTTTAACCGGTACCCAGATACCAATAAAACCCAGATATTATTCCCTTTCTTTCTCTTCACCTAGCACACGGGTCACCGAACTTTTAATGAGAGTTTCTTCTGAGTAATGAAAAATATCCCAAACTACCCCCTACTCCCAAACTGGCCTGTTACCAAGTTTTGTCCTGTCCTACAGCACTGTATGTCCTGACATGGATGACCCAGGCTGACCTGCTCTCTTCAGATCCTGGATGCCAAACGGGGCTTGCCCCCCAAGCGGCCATAAATCAGCTGTGACCTGCCGGCACTTCCCACCACCAGAAACAGAACAGGGACTAGGAAGAGGACCAGGAATGAAGCTACCGGCTAAGCAGCACAGAGGAAAAGCCCTATGAAGTAAACGCTTTAAAAATATATATATTAAAAGCCTAGAGCAGATCTTTTCAACACCATTTCCTGGGTCTTCCAGAAGAGCGTTTTCCGAGTGTCCCAACCAAAAAGCTGGGTTGTAAACTCTGTCAAAGCAGGTCCCAGGCTTTTACAGTTTCATCTATTTGTGCATCCTCAGTTGTTGTTTTTAAATGGGTCACCCTTTATTGCTTTCTGGTTCCCTATCTTGGAATATTTACAACAATTTGAAGATATCCCAAAAGAAATAGATACTTTCCACCTCTGGTAACGTGTAATCAAGTATTGGTACTAAATATGTTTTGAATGTGTTTACTGAAACACCAACTATCCACTAAAGTTATAACTGTTGAAAGCTGAAAGTTTATAATTGTATCCTGTGTATATTATTGTATAAATCTATGTAGTTATCTGTTTACCCTTTATTGCATAATTCCAAAATAAGACCATCTTAGAAGTTTTTATGTACTTAATACACCACTGTGTATATGTATGTTATAATGTTACGAAGGCAAAACTTAATAAAATATATTGTATAAATGGGTCACCTTGCCGAGTAAATTTGGCCTCGTGAGTCACCATACCTAAAAGGCTGAGAGAGCCACTGTTCAAGAAGAACTCATGAGCTATTCTGCAGCAGCTAGTAAACTGCTGGGAACTCATGAGCTACCTGCTGGAAACCCCTGACCCAGAGAGATTTTGCTAATCCTCTCATACCACCACCACCCACTCGATGAAAAGGGTCTTACTCATCACCTTCAGCATCTCTTTGTTGTTATCCCCACGGCTGCTTGTTCCTGTTCAAAAGACATGATTCTGTTTGCGCTATTCTCACTGTGTTCAAATGTCTTCCCCTTTATCCCACTACAATATGGACTTAGCGCAACATCTCTGACTGCTGAACGCTCCCTAGGACTCGCAGACTACTCAGCATTTATACAGGGCATCTTCACGCTGTAATCCTTACAACAGCCACGCAAGGCTGAGCATGATTATCCTGACGTTGCAGGAAGGAACGGGGGAACCAAGACTGAGAGAGCCTCAAATCACAGCCAAAATGAGATTTGCGTCACAGAGATTCTGATTTGTAATTTAGGATTGCATACTTAGCCACTTTGCAACACCAGCTTTGGTTTAAAAAAAACCAAAAACCCTCTGTAGAAAGAATATAGACATGTAAAAAAATTGCCTGGCAGAATCCGATCAAGAACTATCTGAGCTCAGTGCCTTGTCTCCAACAGCACACGGCGACAGGTTGTTGGGCTTTTTTTTAAGCCACCAGAAAAGCAAACTCTTGGGAAACGAGGATCACTTACTACTATTCAAAGTCCACCAATCATAGAGGTAGCTGTGTTAGTCTGCAGCAACGAACTAAAACAGGAGTATTGTGAGACCATAAAGTCTATCAGAGTCGCGTCTATCCCACTGGCTGAATGTAAGCTGATGCTGGAATCAGTTTTGTTTAATGTGCCACAGAACTCCAGATTTCTTTTGCTGTGGAGTTTCCACAGAGCCCCAACACAAAGCATTAATTGATGCCGCTGATCTCACTGCACCTATGGATCTGAGTCTATATATTAATCTTTGTTCAGCGGACTCCTATACGATACAGCTGCGGCCATCGCGTGCATAATTTGACCTTTTATCTTATTTTGTTAAAAAAAAATTGTTTTACATTTTGTTTCCTGTCTGGTCAGGGGGTACACATACCTCTACCTGTTTAAGCTACCTCTTTAGCCCTGCCACAGTGAACATCAGTACAACCCACATCGCATGTACATGCATAGATCTGTTGTAAGAAACAACCAACATGCATTCATTTACAAGTGAAACCAAGGACCCGTCCCTGTATAAATGTGGGGTTTCGATCACAAGTGCAGCTGAATGTAACGTGAGAATTACTCAACACACACATACAAAGCACAATCAAGTGTACACCGCACATAGATTTAACACGTGTTCGGGCATTCGTATCTGAGGAAGTCAGGTCCATGAAACCTCGACTGTATTATGTTTCCTATCAGTAGAAAAGAGCAAGAGTCCAGTAGCACCTTAAAGACTAACAAAATATGTGGCAGAGGATGAGCTTCCATGAGTCACTGCTCATTTCTTCAGCTAGCCTTCAAGATGCTACAAGGTTCAGCCACTTTCTGCTGCCCCTAGTGGAATTCCCCTTTTTGCAAACACACATTGCTTGTTTACCAGTGGAGGATCTCATTAGATCTCAGACGTTAAGCAGGGTGATCCTGGCTAGTATTTGGATGGGAGACCTCCAAGGAATACCAGGGTCACGACACAGAGGCAGACAATGGCAAACCACCTCTGAATGCCTCTTGCTTTGAAAACCCTACAGGGTTGCCATTGGTCAGCTGTGACAGGCTGATAGTTACACCATATAACCGGGGCTGATAATCACTTCATATGTAACTGTACCTGTCCAACCAGACTTTTAAAACTATTTTAGTCCAGAATCGGTTATTTTAAGCAGTCAGAGCGGTCTGTTTTGTGGTCTTTTTTATGTCGGACCAGGGTTTCTAATACTGGATTCCACTTAATATCTTTTATTGTTTTCTTTTGAACAAAGTTTGAGTCCAGTGGCACCTTTAAGACCAGCCAAGTTTTACCCTGGGGATACGCCTTCGTGCGCAGCAGGCACACTTCCTCAGATACACAAAAGCTTACACCCAGAATAAAACTTGGGTCTTAAAAGTGCCACCGGACTCAGAATGTTTTCTGCGGCTTCAGACCAGCACGGCTGCCCAGTGCCCCCCTGAATTGTTTGGTTATCTTAATACGGTGTCTCAGGCAGGTTCCTGGAAACACCGCATGTATTTTTTCCCTCTAAATGAACTGCAATCTTGCATAGGCAAAAGCAACAACAAAAAAAGGCTCCAGCGGCAGTTTAAAAGATGTTTCTTGCTGCGTTCGATGCGCCTCCGTGTTTAAGGCGCTACACGACTTGGCCACTCTTCACCACCATCCCTTTCCCCAGCTGCTTCTCAGGGAGCGCATTTCAGTCCCTTTCCCCATTTATTTTGGCACAGACACCCCCAAACTGGAGATCTTTCCCGTTGCTCACCCCCTCGGCTCCCACCCCTCAAGGCGACTCCAAACAAACCCCCTTTCGCGGTACCTTCAAGCCAGGCGGTCTCTCCCCGCTTGCTCGCAGAGCCCTCCGAGAAAGCCTCGAACCGCCCCCCGCGGTTTTGGGTAAATCCACACCAAGCGCTCCGACCTTCTTCACCAGCGGCAACCCCCGCGTCCAGCAAGCCTTTGGGCTTTTGTGGCCACACGCGAGAGAAGCGTGCGACTGAGGAGCCGGAGCGGGAAGGAAGGAAAAGGGTTCTGTGCGACGGAGAGGCTGCTGGCGTCACAGAGGCACTGAAGCACAAGTGAAAGTTTCTTTTCTTGAAATAAAAGGTGCGAGAGGCAGGAAGAGGGAAGGGCGCTGCGCAGACCGGAGGCGTGTGACTTGCAGGCCAGGGTTGCCAACTACAGGCTGGGAAATTACTGCGGGGGGGGACGGGGACGGGGACGGACTAGCTAGGGGCGGGACTTCAGCGGGGCATAATTGTTGGGACAGGGTGGAAGCCGGAACAGCAGTGGTCCCTCTAAGCTGAGTTAGTGTGAGCCAGCTCACAGTTTTGTAGCCTCCGGCTCACACATTTTTTGTCTTCGCTCAGGAAGGAGGGCTCCAGAGCACACTAATTTATGCAGTAGCCAAATCACCTGCTCACAACTTTAATGTTGGCAGCTCAGAAAGTAGAATTTTTGCTCACAGGACTCCACAGCTTAGAGGGAGCATTGCGGAGCAGGCCCAGGAACGGGCATTAAGCGATCAATAGTAAGGCAAAAAAGCAGTGGGGGGGCATTACAGACGCTGGAGAATAATATTTTAGAAAAGAAAAGGTGGAACTCTTGCGCTTTTATCAACCGTTCCAGGCCAAAATGCCTCCTGAAGGTGCAAAATATAGTTCTGTCAAAAAACAGTGGGATGCTGTAATGTACTGGGTTCAAGACACATAGTCCAGTGATTTCAGCTCATAATTTATTAGTAGGCAAAAACTGAGACAAGGAAGCAGGACCCCGGGGGTCTGCTTATATGTTGGTCCATGCCACACCCAACAAACACACCCCACACCTGTGATAGGTTTATTTACAGTGCACCAATAACCTTAGATGTCTTTGCAGATCTAGGCTGACCTATTGGTCCGTTTTAGGATCCTAGGAGTCTATTGTTTCCGGTCGCAAAGCTTTGCTAGTTCGCTTGACCACGTGAGCACCCAACCGTGTGCGTGGTCCTTTGTTAGTACATAACATATGCATTACAGATACTCCAGAACAAAAATTTAAAAAAGAAAACACAGAACTCTCGTGCTTTGATTAATCCTTTCCAGGCCAAAATGCCTCCGGAACAGGCCAGAATGGGCATTAAACAAACAACCGCACTGCAAAAAACAACAACAACAACAACAACCAGCGGAATGCATTACAAACACTCAAGAACAATATTTTAGGAGAGAAAACGCTGAACTCTCAAGCTGTTATTAACCCTTTCCCAGCCAAAATGCCTCTGGAACACCCTGGAACAGGCGGGAACAGGCATTAAGCAAACAACAGTATTGCAAAAAACAGTGAGATGCATTACAGACACTCGAGAACAATGTTTTAGAAAAGGGCACATGGAACTTTCACACTTTTGTTAATTCTTTCCAGACCAAAATGCCTCCAGAACACCCCAGAACAGGCATTAAACAAACAATTGTACCACAAAAAACCCCAGTAGGACGCATTACAGACACTGAAACGCAATATTTTTAGAAATAAAAATGTGGAGCTCTCACACCTTTATTACCTGTTTCCAGGCCAAAATGTCCTCCAGAAATCCACAGAACAAGCTGGAACAGGCATTGAAAACATAAATAGCATTAGTAAAAACAGTGGGATGTGCTATATGCACTCCAGAAGAATATTTGGGAAATCAGAACACAAAAATAGCCTAACACCACCCTTTGGACCAAAGACCCTTGGATCATCTGGATCCCACAGCCTCAATGGAAAGTCCTATCCCTGAAGGCTCAGCATCCAGCTGTTGTGCAGATGCCTGCTCCTGAGGATCTGTAGTCTACTCCAGGATCCACTGCCAAAGCCAGAACAGCTCTGGCTGTCCCTCCAGGTCAGCGGCACACTGGGAACATTCCTTATAAGTTACCTGGCCAGTCTGCCCCTGGCCAACTGTATGATGTATCATAGAGCCTAGGAGAAACTAAAGTCCTAGAGTGATATCACATCCCCACGGAGCTCCCCTCACCAAACTCTGCCATCTCCAGGAATTTCCCAAACTGGAACTGTCAACTCTAGTAGGACTTGGAAGACCCAAGCCAAACTCCCACTTGGCTCTGACGCTCACTGGGTAACCTTGGACTGGTCTCTGCCTCTCAACCTAACCTACCTCACAGGTTTGTTGTGACGATAAAAAAGAAGAGGTACACTGATGTACTGCACCATGGACAATGTGATTAAAGATGATGGCGGATAGATAGCATTATCCAGAGGGTTTATGTGGTTTCCATTTAATGGATAAGAACAGTGTTGGGAGAGAGATCAGTTAGTTAAAATGCAGACGAAGAAAGAGATGAGAAAAGAATTAAAAGAGTTCACGGATATGTTGGGCTACACTGAATTGTCCCCTCTCTAATTGGGCCACTTACCACCTGCTACCAAAAGCCACCATGGGAGCTCAGACAAATGTTTTCACACACACTAAGAGTCCGATCAGACAGCTCTTTAGATCCGCACGAGGCACAATTGCCTCACAGATCTAAAGGTAATGTCCAGACACAAACATCTGGGAAACGTCCCTCTTCCGTGGGCATCCCGTTTAGCCACGCTTCGGAGCCGTACTTAAAAGATAGCACTTTAAATCTGGGGTTTTCGGTTACCTGCGGGACAACTGCGGACTTTCACCCGTCTGATCATTCCACTAGCGCGCAATCCTCCCATTGAGGTGGTCTGACGTCACACCATCCTGAGTGGGCGCCATTTAAAAAAATCTCAACACATGCGCGGATCAACAAGGATGCGCTGTGACGCCTATGCGCATGTGCAAAAAGGTTTTTTTAGAAACCACTGCGCGCCTCCTTCAACAAGGACACACTGTGATGCCTATGCGCAAAAAGTTTTTTTAAAAAACCCCACCGTGAATGCCTCCTTCAGTGGATGCCATCTAGACACTCCACAATGGAGGCAGCGCACGGTAAGGCGATTCACCAGGGGGATGTCTGGTCGTGCTACGATGGATTAAAAAGATTGGGATAAAATTCAAACTGGCATAATGGCGGGATTAGCTGCCCGTCTGAACGCACCCCAACGATGCTTTCACACATGCTAAATAATGCCGTTTCAATCCACTTCAACAACAGTTTGCAAGTGGATTTTGCCATTTCACACAAAAATCCAGTTGCAGGGTGCATTGAAAGTGGATTGAAAGCGAGTTTAATGTGCGTGAAAGTGATATAAATAATGCACTTTCAAAGCACTTTGCGACTGGATTTTACTGTGACCATTTCCGCAGTAATTAAATTCCCCACATTGACATTTTTAAAACTGCACGTTATGTGAAATTTTCCGCAGTAGACTTTTCCCCATCAGGCGCAAACCAGAAGTTTTTTCCTTCTTACCCTGCATGTTCAGAGTCCCCAGTTTTAGCGAGTTCTGAAAATGTGAAAAAATCTACTGCAGAAAATTTCACATAATGCACAATTTTAAAAACATCAGTGCAGGGAATTTCATTATTGCGGAAATGGTCTGTGTGAAAAGGCAAAATCCACTTGCAAACAGTCGCTGAACTGGATTGAAACAGCAATATTTTGCATGTGTGAAAGTTTGTCCCCCTATCTCCCAGATGCAACCCAACAATCGTACAGTCCTACCCTGCCTATGATCAGACTCCTGTTGATAAAAACACCAGGCAGGAGTTGCAGGACCTGTTAGTTGTGCACCCTTGACCAGCTGAGAGAGGAAAGGGTCTCACTGAGTTGGAATGAAGATTCTGCCCCTCCCCACAAAAAAAGGTTCATCTCCAAACCTGCACACGTCCATTTCAGTTTTTAAAGGTTCAATTAATTAAATGCTAAGCTGTAACCTAAGAAACATGAAACTCCAACCCAGCCAAACTACAAAAGATTTTGTAACAATGCAATCTAAAAGTGCAATACAATTCTCCCTGTTTTTCTCATCAACATGAGTTTCTTTTTCATGTTTTGCAACTTCTTGTTCCTCCTTAATTTCAGGGTGTTTACTAACTTCCTCAATACCAACCAGCTCCATAGCCAGAAATCTCATGGGAAACAACCCCTTCGGGTCTCTCTGGGGTCAGAGGGAATCACTACAAAACATCTGGAATCTTTTTTTTTAATGATTTAATGCTATGAAACATCAATACATGATTACACCACTTTTAAAAATAACTGCTGGCAGCCTGCTAGTCATTCTAGTGCTTCTCGTTGGCCAAAATGCTGAAAGGTGGGAGTGGTTTAGCTTTCTGCTGGGTACAGAGATGCTGACCTGTTCGTTGTTATACTTAAACTCTGTGTGTGTGTGTTTAAAGTACTACCAAGGTGCAGAAGACTTATGGAGACCCTGTGGAGTTTTCAAGGCATTTATTTATTTATTGGGGCGGCTTACATAAAATCAATACATAATTTACAATAAAACGTAACTAGTTTGAATTAAAGCAATTCTAAAATCATCTAAACTATAAAACTCAATAAAGTGCTAATGGCTGTGATGACACAATCTACTCTTCTTATAATTGGTTCCTTGATCTTCTTGTAGTTATCCTTCTGGCGACTAACACCGGCAACTGTCATTAAAAGTTCTGGGAGACAAGGCTCTCTCACCTTCAGCTACCAGTTGTTAGTTGTTAACAGTGGTGGTTAGCGGTGGCAGCAGCTCGAAAAGCCTGGCGGAAGAGCTCCGTTTTACAGGCCCTGCGGAACTGCACAAGAGATGAACAGAGGTGGTTTGCCATTGCCTGGCTCTGCATAGCAACCCCGGACTTCCTCGGTGGCCTCCCGTCCAAATACCTGCCAGAGCCCAGCTGCTTAGCTTCTGAGAACTGATGAGATCAGGTTAGGCTGGGTTATCCAGGTCAGGGCTGTTGTAAAATAGTCAAAAGTATTTAAATTACTCAGAGTATCAATGGATCTTGCTCTATTGGAAATAAGAGATTTCTTTGCGTTTTTTTAAAAAACCCTTTATTTCTAAGGGTAAAAGGTATAC